GGGGGGGAGGGATTGCTGTCATTTCCTTTTCCTTTTTTTTTTTTTTTGAACAGGTCCTTATGGGCCCGGCTCAATCTCCATTCTTGGGGTGGGATTTTGGCACCGTTTTAAACCTTTATTGGACAGCGAAAAAGTTTTGAATTGCAATGTACTTCGCTACTCCCGGTACCTGTGTGATTCACGGCTACTACTGGTAGCTGTGAGATTCTTTCTTTGTCTTTCTCTTTCTTTTTTTTTTTTTTCTTTTTTTTCTTTTTTTCCCCCGCCACTACTACTCATCGCTAACAGGGTCCTGCGACTCTGCGCCGATGTATGCGGAGGTCGCCGTCAGGTTTGGTCTACACTTGGGTGGGGTCACTTGGGTGGGGTCACTTGGGTGGGGTCACTGGGGTGCAAATTACAGCTGTTGCCAGTTAAAAGGCATTGTTCAGTTCACAACTTCACAACTTCACATCTCCTTCGAGGGACTATTCCGAAAAAGGCAAATTGTGGACATAGGGTAGGTGTCAGTGATTGTGTTAGGGGAAAGCATTATAATAATATAATTTTGGTTTTCTTTTTTCAAAATGCCAAAGAAGACGTCCTGGCGCATATTGAATGTGTATGGTTGCAACTCCGTGCTGTGACCTGCTAGCCGCAACCAGTGAGGCTCGGAAAAGCAGGGAGGGGGGGGTGTTGGCGGTGGTAGCAGGTTCGGCAATATAGGGTTGGGATTTTACGGGCGGTTTTGGGGGGATGGAGGGGGGGGGACACCCAAAACATTATCTTGTCTTTATCAGTAAGATAATATTAGGATTCAAATTTCAAATCTTAAACCCACTCAATGTTGGCTTCAGTGGGATTTGAAGTTTGAGATATGAAATTTGAACCCCCTTAACCTGCCCCATGTGTTTTCTGTTTTATCATCTTTTATGTCTGAGGAACTTTTCTTCCCAAAGTGGGATTTGAAGTTTGAAATGTGAAATTTGAACCCCCTTAACCTGCCCCCTGTGAGTAAATACTTAAATTTCCTCTTTTCTTCCCCAAACCCCCTAATGGTTCAAAATTCAAATTTCAAATCTTAAACCCTTGGCTCAGTGGGATTTGAAGTTTGAACCCCCTTAACCTGCCCGAAGTGTGTTCTGATGCATCTCTGAATCAGTCTGATTGACTCTGATATCATTATGATTCAAAATTCAAATTTTAAATCCACTCAATGT